GCTTGAATTTAACCGTTTTGAAGATATCGAATTGTTAAAATTGTTTTTGCTGCAATTCGCAATTTGGCATTTAAAATTTTGCACCAAAGGAATGGTGAAAGAAAGATAAACAGAATTTATAAGCAAGATAATTCTATCGATTTGTGGATTAAATTGAAATTTTATTTTATAAAGTAATCAAGAAATAACCTTATAATTTCTGTATCAATCGTTTAATTCTAGGTACTCTAGGTTAAAAGCGACCGGGTATATAAATGCGAACATTTGCAATGAAGATCCGCCACTTCGTATGTGACTCAAGACAATAAAAAGCGTAATTCGCTTTCACTTGCGACTTTAGTTTATGCAATTCTTCAACAACTGAGCGTCAGAAGAAAGACTGTCCAGAATCCGTATGGGGTTTGGTACTTACTTTTTGCGCCAACGTGGTTTTCTGATCACTCGAGCCGAACTCGAAAAACTTCTGAATAACGTAATTTCCGAAAACGTCGGTCATCAGGTTGTAGGCGGCTGAGAGGATTTCATTGAAAACCATCTGCTTCTCCGGGGCTGAGGCGCGTTCCAGCTTTTGTTGTATAAATCGCGATCCATGCTGATCTTGCGAGAACTCGACTATGTGATTCGCTAGATCCCTGAAAAAATCACACATGTTGATCCAAACGATTCGGTGAAAAAACTGCGGAAAACTACCTTAGTTGAAGATTGGGGTAGCGATTGTTTCGGAAATCTTCCAACAGGCGCGACCTGCCTTGAGGCGTCTTATCCATAGCAGCAGGAACAGCGGTTAACGATGAATTCATCTTCGCGAACAACGAGTTGGTAGAGCCGAACATTGTGGTTGCGTTCAGTCCGGCAGCGACAGAATTTCGATATTTTGCTTCCGCTCCAGGTGCGGCAGACAACACCTGGAAAGTGGTCAACTTTGAGAAAAACCAAAAAGATTAGATAACTTCACTGGTGAATGAAGACAAACATTATTTTCGAGAGTTTGCAAAGAAAAACATCGCAATTTGAACTGTAAATGTTATGATTCTGGGGCAAACTTTGTGCATAAACAGCAGCCTCTCCTTGATTTATTTATTATTAAATTATATGTATATCATATATATAATAGGGGTGTGAAACCACTCAGGGTGTACGTACTCGTGAATTCACCAGACCCCCTAATTGCAAAGGGGCTGGAGGTGGCGTAAGACTGCCCGCTAATGGACTCGGGCTGCTGCCAATATTGTACGACGTCCATTTCTGCCGATAATCCAATGAAGGCGAAAAGGCCGACGTGTTTCTGTCAAAGGAGTCTCTTCTGCCTGTGGTTGCGGTATTCAAGCCCAAGCCTGAAATAAAAGAAACGCGTCTAAGCAAAAGACCTTACAAAAGCAACAAAAAACAAACTAAATGTGTATCATACGCTGGTAAGTTGTGCAACGTGCGTTCTGCAGCAAATACCTTTTACTTAATGACCTTTTTAGAAAGTGAACCATGGTTGGGAAATGTTGGCAGTTTTCTCAAAAAATGCTTGAATTTAAGAAGTTTTCAATTTGCGTGTTTTTTTTTGAGTTGCAAAATCCACTTGAACATGACGCTGCTTTTTTCGAAGTTTCTCAAGAACCATTCGAGGCAGATAATTCGTTTTGGCATCGTTGGATAGAGAATTGAATGNCCCCCCCCCTTGGATCGCCCTTGTATGAACGGTGATAAAGTCGCAGACCGTAAAAGAGCGGCCAAAATTGGCAGTAAAACAATGTGGCAAGTGGCGATAAAATATTTCGCGCAAGCTAAACTAGTTTCCGAAAGCGAACTTTGTTTCGGTGACGATCCGTTTGTGGCTTTGAGAATGAAATTAAATCGTGCGATAAAACCGATTTCAAACTTGCTCATTCAAACGCAGTTGGCGCAAAAATGTTGCAGGCATTCTCTAGGTTACAATAAGGATTTTAAGCGTTTTTTGAACGTTTACGACCTTTAGCCGACGATTCCTTCCATATTATTCCTTCCAAACGCTTTATAAAAACACAGTTGGGTCGACTTTATAAAAAAAATGAAAATGTTCTCAAAGTGTCATAAGTTTTACACCGCCAAATATAACCCAGGCAATTCCCCAAAGCGCACTTGGCCTTTAGGTCCGTAAAAGGTCCTTAGTTATCTAGGGCGCTATGGCGCATTTGCCACGTTTCAAACGGCAAACAAAATTTCTTTCCAGCTCATACAATTTCACGTCGTCACATAAATTATCGACCTGCATGCCTCTACCAAACCATACAGCACACCTGCTAACTACAATCTAATTATTACCTAAAGCACATTCGAGCCTCCACAGTTCCCTTATGCTACATGTTAGTAAAGCAACACTAAACAATTGTTACGCACAATCCCAACCAATGAACCATCATGAAAGCAAGCGAACAAATTAAGCGAGTGCGGTTTACCTGAATGGAGTTGCGACGTGGCCTGTTGTTGCTGTTGCGCGGATGAACCAATTGCACCCAATTGCGAAGAACCTCCAAATGTTGCAGCTGAAGGCGGAAGGCCAGGGAACAGTCCTGAACCGGCCACGCCCTGAGCCACCCCTGCACAGCAATGGTTAGTTTGGGTTAGCGGTGAAACGTGAGAAATGAACATTTTACGCATTGTTACTGTTACATATGAATGATGATTGATTCATGTTTGTTCCAATATATGTAAATATTAGTGTGTCCAACACCAGTTTAGCAGTGGCAATTCGCAACATATGCGGCAAGCACAAACACGATTCGAATTCACGACAAAGTAGGGAAAATTATTGAACCATTCATCACCCGGATCAAGCCAGGCTTATTTGTACAAACATTGAACACTTTACAAAACGTACAGTTTTATACACAAGTCGAAATACAAGTCTAATTTACGACACCAATAGAACCCAAAATCACAATGTTTAGAGCCAATAATTGTCGTTTCGAATCAATTATTTACATTGCAGCATCGTTAAGAGTTGGGATTAAACGATTTTTATCCCCATAATGCGAACCGATTAGGTGATTTGGACGACAAAAGTGGTCCAAGATGACCAGCAATTGGCTTCTAATCTACTGTAACCGCAATGAACAGCTTAGTTTGGCGCAAGAAAACATCCTGTTTAGAAAGAACATTGCGTTGAAACAATGTTAGCTGCCTCCTGTGATATTTCCGAACGCCAACTAGTGCGTGGGCCAACAAAGAAAATAAACTTATACTTTGTGAAACATCAGCCACGCTGTTTTGTTACAACTGACCGGATTAAATCGAACTGAATTGCATTTGAATATGAATATTTCACGGGAGCGTTATTGGAAAAACATAAAAATGTACGCCTGAGGGATTATGAAGAGCGGCCCATGTTTTGTTTGGCTTTTTATCGCGAAGAGAAACATTTGAATATTTAAAAACGGCAGCGCAACACTCAAACGCGCTCGGTCAGCTTAATTCAATTAACTCAGGCGCAGCAAATCTACAAAATTTCCATAAATACTAACCTCCGAGTGTGGTTCCGTTCACGGAGGTGCTGACGCCTGCAGCAGCCGCAGCGGCTGCCGCCCCATAGAGACTTTGTGCGCCTGCGGCGGCTCCGTACAAGCCAGCGGCCGCTGCTGCGCTCTGGGCGGTTCGCCCCGGTGCTCCGCCAGGCGGTACCAGAACGGGCGCCGCCGGACTGACCAGGCGCATGGGCGCGCCGTGGCCGTTCCGCATTGCAGCAGCGGCTGCAGCGGCTGGTCCCTGTGCCACCAAAATGGGGCCGCCGCCCTGCTCATAATATGCAGCAGCGGGGACAATGTAACCGCCCGTCGGTACGCCCTGCTGCAAGAAAACAGTGCCCATTAGGTATTTACAGAATAATGTACAATAGGGTTATCAAACACATCAGGTACTTAACTAGCTACTTCCATAGATAGACTCGATCTATACATAATTAAATTCGAAAATCTAGGTATAATACAATGAACCAAATATACACGATAGCTTGGGGTAACACCGTGTTGGGCTGCGCTATTGAGTTGCTGCCGCTCTCTGAGTTCACGAGCTATAACTCATCCGTTAATGGGTTATCATCACGAAGGATTCGAAATTTGCTTTTTCACGCAAAATACATTCAGATTCTCAGCATTTTCAGTGAAACTTTTACTAAAACTCGAGCATTATTAATAAATGGCCTCTAAAATAGATCTAAAAAAAGTAAAAAGAAGTCATCAACATTTTCCCAGCAACTGAACTGAGTTACGGCGCCGGTGCGTTGGGTTGGCGCCCCAAGCCATTTGCGCAGCACTGCGCCAACTCCGAAAAATTCACGGAGTAACCCAGGCCACGGTGGATGAAAATTGCAAATTCTTGAGGGTTCATTTAACCATACAGTGCATTTATCTTTTACGACGCCATGCTGATAGCACATGTTCAGAACAATGTTAAGTGGCTCATTAACAAGTAAATTGAAACGGACATTTACCAAGAATCGGAGTCAAAGCACGCCACCCAAAATGCTCAGACAAATCTAAATTGAAACTAATGGGTTTTTCGGGTTTTTAGGCCGTCGTATTGTTTCTTGACGTTTCGCAAGCACGAGTGGCTTGCAAAATGCACAGCGAGTTTAATTAAAATCCACCGTACACACCGATATTTCAAAAAACTTAAAAAACTTGAATAACCTGGGGCAGTTTGTCATTGCCCTTTCCAAACTGTTGCGCGTAAATGCAATGTGACAGACAAGAACAGGCATAGTTTGTACTGTACGTAACGCAGAGGGAGCGCTAAACATTCCGCGCTCTGTTTATTGCACCGTTCAAGTGCACTGACAAGGACGGCTATAGGGGAGTGCCTTGCGATTGAGACGGCCGTCGCCAAACTTCCCCAACAGTGTTTAAGTTGCGAGTTACAGTTTGTCTTGCCCAAAAACGACTTTCGACGAATTGTCTTTTAAAAATTGTTAAAATTTGGCCAAACCTGCCACGAGATTCAAATTTAGAGGAATCGTAGAGTGGGCTTTTCTCTATTTAAAGGTGCTAAAAACAGGCTTGCGCCTCTACCGTGATTTTCTGAAATTTAAGTTACAGTTTTTCTTGTGCATGCACTTTTGTCGAATCTTTTTCTGAAAATTGTCCGAAACCTGCCGCGAAGTCAAACTTTGCGCAATTATGGACTGAAGTTTACTCTATTGAAGAATGTAAAAAGCAGCAGCCAAAAAAATTGTCAAAATTAGGCCAAACTAGTACCGAAAATCGCCCTTTGAAGAATCAGAGAGTGGAGATTCTTTAATTTAATAATGTCAAAGCAACCTTCCACTTCTACTTGTCTCTTTGCACAATTTTTTTTAAGTCGGACTCCATAATTTCTAAGCTTTTTACGGATCTTCTTCGAAAAATTGTCAAATTTAGCCCAAACCGGTCATAAAAGGCAAACTTTCACCGTTTAACGAGTGGAGTTTTTTCTATTTACGAGTTTATTTCTCTATTTTGCAAGGTTATTTTTTAAAGCACGTTCAAACAACTCTATCCGTCAAGGAAATCGACCTCACGGATCTCATAGAGTGGAGTTTCGTCCATTTTATGAGACCACCGTAGTTCACTATACACGCCGATTTTTCAAAAACTGATTTTTTTTATTAATCTGGGGCAGTTTGGCGTTTCCTTTTCCAAACTGTTGCGCGTAAATGCAATGTGACAGAGAAGAACAGGCATAGTTTATACTGTAAGAGACGCAGAGGGAGCGCTAAACATTCCGCGCTCTGTTTATTGCACCGTTCAAGTGCACTGACAAGGACAGCTATAGGGGAGTGCCCTGCGATTGAGACGGCCGTCGCCAAACTGCCCCAACAGTGTTTAAGTTGCGAGTTACAGTTTTGCCCAAAAGCGAATCGCGTCGAATCGTCTTCGAAAATCAAGAGATAGACTTTCAAGGCCATTTCTTGAAACTAATGGGTTTTACGGGTTTTTAGGCCATCGTTGGGTAGAATTGCTTACACTGTTCAAGCAAACCACTTCTGAAGATGCAAGCCACTCGTGCTTGCGAAACGTCAACCAGCAATTCTACCCAATGATGGCCTAAAATCCCGAAAAATCCATTAGTTTCAAGGAATGGCCTCGAAAGTCTATCTCTTTTGATAAATCTAAATTGGTTGATCGGGTCTCGGGTTTTGTAATGCTTTAATCGGCTTTAACAAACGAGTTATCAACTTATCAAGTCAGAGAGCGGCAGCAACTCAAAAGCGCAATTCAACACAGTGTGATCCAGGCCTAAACCCAGCACTTCTGAAGAATTTTACGAATTTTATCACGGTTTTTAATCAACAAAAGACACTACTGGCAATGGCATAATTGAATGTGCTTTCGACTTCTGATAAAAGTTTTCTATATGGTCTCGACTTGAGTAGACAGTTGCAATACAGCAGCACCTTGAGATAATTTAAATAATAAATAAATTTATGACTCTCAGGAAATGTAATATTTGGGAAGATCAAGCGGCAAAACACGGATTTTCAGGACTAAATCGTGTTATTAAAACAAACTGTTGCCAAGAAGATAAACGCGATCTTATAATGGACGAAAGCTCTTTCCAATGCGCAATTAGAAAAACCTATTAAAACAGCCCTTTCGAAACCATTAAAACACCCTTCACTTTTAAGGCTTTCCGCAACGAATCGCAATGCTCGAAGTTGGGTTTTATAGACAGTAATAAGAGTGATGATAGCTTGCCAACGCATTAAAAAGTTTGCAATATGTGCAGGTGAAAATCCAAGTGAAAAAAAACGAGCAGATTTTCAATAAAACTGCATTCGATTATTCAAATGCTCGGCAATAGCAATTGACGCGGCTACGGATTTAATATTTATTATAAAGCTGCTATTGCAGCAAATTTTAATTTGCCGGTATTAAATATGGATTAAAATCGAAACAATGAATTATTACACTGATAACAGCCGATGGTTATATATTTAAGTGCTGTTTTATTTCAGTAAATGTATTAATATTTTTAATGGATATGGCGAAATACGCCCATCCGCGGGCGCATTTTGAACAGGCAAAAAACCATAAAAATCGTTTTGAGTATTACAAGATTATTAGATTATTACAAGATTATATACCTGTTCTAGTACGAATTTTTTAGTAGTTCTGGTTTAAACCGTTTTCAAGTGACTCAAAAAGCAAAGTTTTCCGAACAAATTAGATTTTTCCGGTTTCACAGTCGTAATTTCTGATATGAAATCTCAAATAACACTAGTTTTGAACATTTTCCCTGATTACAAGTTAAGGTTCGAGTATATTAGCCGATAAAAGATCGCAACTGCTTTCCATCAGGCCATTCCATTATAGAATCGGATATTCCAGCTCGGAGTTATTGAAAATCTCTCCGAATTGTGATTTTGTGAATGAAAAGCGCAAAAAAAACGTTTATGGGAGCATCGGTCATAAATGTTAAGATTGCAAAGAAGAAAATTAGGAACTTCTGTACATATCTTATTGGGATTTAGCTGTAGCAAAAAACCGGCAACATTTTTGTACAAATCAACTTCACTATGCGCCTTACAAAACACCTTACACACCTGCACTTGTTGTTGAGCTTCATTGGTTCCATTTGGGGTAAGAGGTCGTCTGGCTCCATTGCTGGCTCCTTGCTGAAGAGCTGCGAGACTAGCAGGAGGAGCCGGATAAACCCAAGGCGCTACTCCGTAATACTGGGCGGGCACTCCTGTGGTGATCAGGTATGGTTCCTGCACAGGAAAATGGGCGCTTTACCATCTGCCCCATGGACAACCACTCAAGTACTTACTTGTTGCGCATTTAGGACGTAAGGTCCTTGCTGTGTAAAAGCAGCGGCTGCAGCTTGCTGCTGCTGAGCCGCCGCCAGATACTGCTGTTGCTGCTGTTGTTGCAAGAGCTGCAGCTGAGCAGCTGCACCTGGAGTAGCTGCTTGCGATTGCTGCGATCTGAACAGCTGCTGTAAAGAAAACGAACGGTTCAGTTTCACTAAAATACAGATGCCATCTAATCATGGAAGAGCGCAACTAGCTGTTTATTCTGAAGCTGAGATAGAGCACGAAATCACATTGCGCCAATTGCGATGAGAGTTTCGCGCGAAAGCGCTTTCCATTTATGGGATATTCAGTTGTGTAAAGTTGCAGAATCAGCCGGGGGAGTAAAATATTTGTTCCAACCGACTGCTTTATACGAAGATGTTATCATAGCGAACGACCCAAATCGAATTTATTTTATCAGTTTGGAAAGGGCCCACTTTTCAGTCGGCTAACTTTATCTTCTTTGTATGCTTTGCCTAAATATTTCGTTCACATCGGGGCGCTTGGAACGAAAACTCATAGTTAAAACAGGCACCGAAAAAAGTGAGTTTAGGCATGCGGATCATAAGTGTTTGTCAAGAACCGGCTATTGCTAGTTGAAGTTTGTCAGGCCTTCAGCCCTTCAATCACACTAAGCTCTCTTAATAATTCAATTATCCATAACCGACAATGCAATTGTCCATTTGTAATTCATCAAGTGACTTGCAATGAAAAATAAGTTAAATAATTGCATTCTATCGACTTGGGCCGGATTCGGCATCTTCAATTAATTCCTGCAGTCCGCGTTAAGAAGAAAAAAACTAGTTTCGGTATTGACAATTTGCTTCCGTTTCGCCAAGAACGGAATTACATTGATTGATGGGCGGAAAACGAAATGCTTCTTTTACGTATTACATCTTCGCGACTTTATCCATTACAGCCCATCATTCAATAGTTTTTCAAACTTTCTAAAAAACTCTTGAAACTGTGGACTTAAAACGCAAATTCGGAACATCAGTAATTAATTGAATCTTCAAACAATCAAATTAATAGCGCCATTTACTCTTACGTTCTTATTAAAATCAGTATGTGGGCATTTCACATCGCATACTTTAGAAGGAAAGTATGTTAGTGTGATGTGGCTAAGTAGGTTGCATAGACGAGCTGTACGGTAAATAGATGTTTGCAGAAAAAACTACTCCACTAGTTGTATGCCACTATCGGTTTGCAAAACATGATTCTTCAACAGAAGCGCAGGCCTCGAAGTGGCATATTGTAGTTTTTTATTATATATAATCAAGCATCAGTATCTAAACGACTCCATCGAACACCTAATTGCACGCTCCAGTTACGGGAAGTTTATGGCTGGTTGAAGCTTTTAAGTTTAGTAGAAACTACGTTTAACGCTAATAATAAACTCGGGACTTTTATAACTCTCTAATGGGTGCATTTGTGCTATTGCACAAAAAAAAATAAATATAATATATATAAAATATCGATAAATATCGCAACAAACTATTCCCACCACATGGGGACGAACTTTATTTTTACGCGTAGTTGAATATAATATAACAGAATAACTGGAGTAATTGGAAACAAAGTAAAAAATAATAAATTAATAGCCACAAGAAAATTATCACAACTAATTGGCAGAATGAACACGTCAGAAGGAAATCTGGAAAATGATTTCCGCCGGCTTCAAAGCACAAAAAAGCGAGTTTTTTAGAAGAAAAAAACTAGTTTGTCCAAGGGTTTTTCCTGGTTCTGTCTCTTGTGTGTTTTTAAGAAGACTTTAACCTTTTCAAGTTATGTTACATGTTTTTGTCAGAGTTAATGTGACTTGAAAAATTCATCAGTTCTGAGATTTTTGCCCAAACTTTGGAACTGGATAAATTCTCATTGCTTCAAGCGAGTGGGCTTCTGTTTGAACCATTATTCAGCACCATTTGTGTTCTGTTCGTCCCTGTTGTGGTAAAATTACTCAGATAAGTGTTCTACAGGGTGGCAAATGAAGAAATGCAAAATTATGCGAAATTCGAGATGCTCCTGGTTGGACAAAAATGAACGTTTTCTGGATCTCAACACCACAAGTTTCAAGATCAAACAAACGGCTCAAAACGGCCATCTCTTCTTGAAACATCCGGTTTTCCCATTAACTGAAGAAACAAACGACCGCACTACTAACTTGTTCATTTCCAGACAACATTACCCAAAAAGCGCGCAAAGCGCAGCCTTTTCAAACGAAACAAGACCATTTCTTACACTGTTGATTAGGAAGGAACGATCACCCGCTGAAATTTCATTACTCTGCATAATTGTTGGCTGAAACAATGTCGGAAGGTGTCGTAACGCAGTGGGATAATCGGTCGTTTAAATGCATAATCAAGACTTCGGACTTAATTGTTTCCAATTACAATGTCGAATGGAAATTGGGTTTCAACAGTTGCGTCCATTAACATAATGAAAGTATTAGAAATTATATGAACGACGTTCAAACACTGCAAGAAATCTACAGCAATCATGCCAAAAAGCTTTCAAAGCACTAAAAAGTAACGAAAAGTGGTGTATTTCGCGAAGATTGTGAACTTAATTGCAATTTGATGCCGCCATAAATAGCAAAATTGTGATCCCAGGAGGCATTTCGAAAGCATGACGTCTTCCAGAGGGTTGGGAATTTAATCGAGCATGATTTATCGCGAAAACGTTTCCTTTCTTGCTAGGCATAATGAATTCCCATCGCATCTAAATTCGACCAGTAAAACATTGCCGGAAGCTACTTTTACCTGGACAAAGTGGTTTATTACCGTTTTAACTAAAAATTGCTCAGCTTAGTTCTGGCAACCCAAACAACTGCAGTTTAAAAGCGCGTGAGTGAATACCATTTCCATAAATAAATAAAACAAAATGACTTCTCCCGAGTGATTTCAAAGACATTTTGTCTTTTCCCTAATTGATCCGCAACTCCAATGACTGGCAATTAAGTGAGGCTCAGCCTCGCTAACGTGGAGGCACGTTCCCACGTTAGTTGGAACGATCCTTCATGGTGGCCGCCCGATCGTTTTCCCCGGCCGGGAACATAAATCTGAACGCTGTAGAGGCAAAAATAAAATATTCCGAAACGAGGTATCTTTGAAGTTGCGCTTCCTCGTCAGATAAGAATGGGCCCATTCATCCTCCGAACAATGAAGCCATCGCAGCTCTACAGTTTTGTCTAAGTACTACTCATTAAAACTGGGTTTTCCCCTCCGGGTGGGCCGCAGTTGAACTTTACTAATTTAGTTAAGGCGACTTGGGCGTCTCGTATTGACACACTTGCAGATTTTTTGGTAGTAAGCGACTGGACTAATGAAAACATGCATATCGAGCATTAATTGTCCATCACCAACGCCAGGGGCAAATTAACCGTAATCGTCCAACACACACCCAAAAATTTACGCCATTATGCGCTGGGTGGGGCAACTCTGCACGCCATCAATCTAAATACTTTTTCGATTAGGACTTGCCAGGGTAACACTGTGTTGAGATGCGCTGTTGAGTTGTAGCCGCTCTCTGAGTTAACCAGTTATAACTCATCGGTTAATGAGTGGTAACTCAGTTAAAAAATCACTGAATTGCCCAGGCCTAGCTCAATAGGAAGCATTTTCAAAGTCAATTCACTTATTGGCTTGATTAATCAGTAAACCGTGTTTTCTGTGCTGACACGTTTTTTTGAAAAAACCCAGAATAAAATAACTTCACCAGCTCTCCATCCAGCCTTCGTCGGGTCGATAAGCTGCCGATAGAGCCTGTTGTTCAGTGATAATAATTAACTCGCTTGAGGGCTGAAAATCGAGCATATTCCCCCCGCCTAAAAAATCTAATCGATATATTTTCCAACGCGTTTTGCTGGCCAAAGAAGCGTATCGATTGAGCGGCAAAAAACTGCATTATTTTGCCTCGTTACCGAGTTCTAATTATGAGTTGCGTTTCAAAATTAATCAACGGCCGCCGGCCCAGGTTTCCAAAACATTCGGCCATAGTAATTGGGTCATTCAAAGCATTTTTGCTGGCGATTTTGTCATTTTTGTTCAACTCCATCCAGCTGGCGCAGGCCTGGGTGAAACTGTGTTGAGCTGCGCTTTTGACTTTCCAAATTACTACTCATCGGTCAATGGAGCTTCGCAGGTTAAATAGCAATAAAAAGGTGTAATCCTCCTTGATAATCAATATGTGTAAATCAACCGAAGTGTGTCGGGGACAATGACTTTTCGCACTTTTGTCGCATTACTTCTAGAATTCGACCAGTTGACTCGATGAAGGAAGGCTCAGCGCCATGAATCGAGTCATCAGTTAACATGCATGTGTCACCAGTGAAAAATGCCTGTAAAATCGAGGTTTGGCTGGCTGAAAAGCTGGGAAATCCACAATATTCCGTTCGCAGTTTAGCTTATTCTAGGGCTTGTTAATGGGTTTCGATCCAGCGCCTGGATTTTTTAGCAACTCATTTTAATTAACGATCAATTACATTGCTTAATTGCCAACAAGAAAGTTTTATTTACTTTTATTGCTTGCATTAATCGCATTTTTCTCTGCCCGTGAACTGCGGCTGTTTTACGACTGGCAGAATGAATCCAGACACAATAATAATGGGAATAAGCTGTAGGATTAAAGCTATCATGCTTGCTCCATGTTAAAACTGGGATTTCCGACATGGACAACCGTTTTACGAGCGCAAACAATTATGAACAAACCCGCAAACGTCTAGGTAAACTTGCTCGCTTTCTGACAAGTGTGTATGTGCAAGCATAATGCGTTTTGCTGGCTCCATTTCCACGCTGTCACCGCATCAGACCCTCGTGCATTTCCATTATCATGGAGAAGAAGTGGCTGTGAGCACGAGTGAAATGGAAATGACAACGCGAATATCGAAGATAATAACTTTGATTATTGGGCGAACAGACAGGCACGTTTTCAGCTTTCGTTGGCCCAGGAAGAAACACTTGCAAACTATATAATTTAATCTAAAGATTGATCATATTTATCCAAATCGAAAGTTCCAGCTGTAAGCCGTTCCAAATGACCAGCTAACTAATGCGCAAACTAAATATTCCAATCGAGACATTAATTAAAATAAGTGCATAAATCTGAATTTTTTATCCTCATTTCGAGCAGTTATCTCGAGAAA